TATTTTCTGTCTTGATAACTTGTCCCCGATCATCTGTCCTCATGACGTGGTTTACAAAGACAGATTTGTTTCTAAGGTAATGTCAACCAACATATTAAAGACATCTCGCCTGCTCTGCTCTTTTTATATTCCTTAATTATGCGCTTGTAACTTTACTTACGCAGCGTAAAGGATATAAACCACACACCACACGTAGCTTCTGTGACGTGCAAGTTAATAGAAGTATAGCAAAAAAGTGACCTATCAAACATCGAAAGCCAAAATGGGTTTTAAAGCTTACGCGAGACGTCTGAAACACAATTGTATGTGTGATTTCCAGTGTCACGTTGTAAACCCTTAAGCTCATGCTCTTTGTCGCTTTCTATGTGCCCTTCATTATAGGTTTGTGCAAGAGAAATTAGAAAAGCGGCAAAAATTTCTTTGTTAGCTTTCTTCCTCGCTTCATAATAAATTGGGCAGTTGAAATTCTTCCATCTAAGTAATTCACGCATGCACCTTCACTATGGTCTAAAACAGGGGTTTAAAACACGCGGATTGTTCGTGTGTGGCCCACGGGCCCACATGAAATAAATTTTTGTGACTCTGCTGAATATAGCATTGTCATTCTTGTCCCATCTGCTACAGTTATAGTGCTTTGTTTGAGTAAGCTACAGTGATAGTTGAAAGTTTTTTTGTGTGTGTGTAGCATCCCATGCGCTCATTTCAAATTCAAAGATCACCGCGGAACGAGAATTAAATACTTCTGCATCAGCGTACAGGCTTAGTCATAGTGGAATTCAAATTCAGTACGTCATGCCAAACCTGACGGCTTTTTTTTTTTGTGAAAAGTGGCCACATATGGGATATGTGAAAGGTGTCTTTTTCATGTGCCATTGTTACATGAAATATTGTTTAAACTGACTTCCACCCTCACCCAGCCCTCCCCCCCCCCGCCATCCATATTATGCGATCTTGACCGTCGCGGCCCACGTGGTGCTGAATTTCGTCACCGCAGCCGGCCAGCTGAGTTGAGTTTGTGACGACTCCATTCCCTCAAGTAGGGACAAATTTATGAAGCCCTTCAAATGTAAGAACAGAAGTTATCGCTCCTGGCGAAAAACGAAAACAAGCATAAGGAGGTGTAGTGATGCTTTTGCATGTGATACAGCCAAAGAGCTCGGAAGCATCGCCACCAAATTTTTCGTGGCAATACTATAGCGAATAATGCCTAAAGTCTGTGGATATTGCAGCTGCGCAGCACTAAGGCCCTCTTGATAAATGTTGAACCGAAGTCAGCATTTTAAACAAAAGAAGAAGCACTTTTCCGACGACCTAGAGCAGTCACCTTATGGCAGTGAATGCTTCTCACCTACGCTTACGAGTATCGTCAGGTAGAATACCTAGTAATTCGAAAAGTAACAGAAAGTTATGAAACCAGCGCTCCCTTTATTCAAGTTTTACATAATTTTTGTGTGCTGCGGCGGTTGCATTTCCAATGGAGGCGGAAATGTTGTAGGCCCGTGTCTCAGATTCGGGTGCACGTTAAAGAACCCCAGGTGGTCAAAATTTATGGAGCCCTCCACTACGGCATCTCTCATAATCATATGGTGGTTTTGAAGCCAACATTTTTATCTATAACTTTCATGTGCAGCTGATACAAGGGCTTCAAAAGAATTTTTTATGCTATATCTCGCTTGAAGTTCATCAAGTTAACCAACTGACGTTGCAGAAAGAGACTCACGTCGAAGTGCAATTATTATCAATTTTTGCGACAAGCTCACCACGTGTCCACTCGCGATCATTGAGCGAGCAGAGGTTAATAACCGTTTTCTGTAACAATTTTCGCAAAAATCGTAAACAACCGCTAATATACGTTAACTTTTTCACATCGCGTGCAAATAAACTCAGACAACAGTCTAGACAGGCATATTCCGTAATATAGCGCGTCGTGAACTCACATTTACTTACGCTTTTGTTAGCACTGTCGGCCGCTGCTATACCGGTCTCCATCGCAGATATGGTGCACCATTAGAAGAATAGCAATACTTTCGAGCTGGAATCTCTGCGCACGAGTTCAAGAATTTTGTAACATACCCCCACTGATGCTTGAAACCTTGCAGAATCGCCCGATACGCTATGCCATGCAGGGCGATAAGCCAGAGATACAACATTGCATGTAAAAGGGTAGATTGCACTGCACACCCTTAACGAATAACATCAAAACACCTTATACAAATGTCATGCAGGGCAAAACGTAACGCTAAGAGATGTAACGTTGCGTGCAAAAGAGTAGATTCCCCAGTGCACATTGAACGAATGACATGTCATCACCCCATACGAATGTCACGCAGGGAAAAAGTAACGCTAACCATTGCGTGGCAAAAAGATAAATTGCGCCACAAACTCCCAACGAATTTCTTGGAAAACAGCCTGTACGGATGTATTTAAGGCCAAAAAGTCACGTTAACAGATGTAACAAATACGTGAGAAAGGGGCAGATTGCACCAAATGTCACACCACGTACTGCGTAACAAGTGGCAAGTTTAATGCTCGACGTTTGGGATTGCCATTTGCGATAAGCTCCAAGCTGACGATTTAATTCTTCCTGCGCATTAGAAATTACAAAGGCTTCCGCCATAATCATATACAGTCAGAGATATGACATAAAAAATATGAGAAGCTTGCTCTAAGCAGCACAAGGCTCGAAAGAGCAAAGATGAATGATTCTGAAAACTAATTTGGTTGCGCATAGCTTGCCGCTACGCTTTACATAGGCGATGCTAAGTTGTTTCAGTGATGATTCTGAACGCAGAAAGGTTACTTTTAAACCAGAAACCATTAAAGATATGAAACCGATGTCGAAACTCCACAGACAAAAACACGCGCTTAAACCAGCCGTTCGCCACGGCCATGTCGTCGTTGGCACGGGCCTTTTATCGCTTCGTGGTGTTTCAGTCGCCGTTTGCTACATCGTTCCCTATAGTATTCTTTCATTGTACGGACTCAGAGTCGTCGGATCACCACCGTTGCTTCGCAGCCACTTGTTGCGCTAAATGTTGCCTTGTTCGTATTTGTTTCTCGAACGCTGGGTAGCAATTTCCCTGTTTCAGTAACACACAAATGTTCACAATATGTTTCTGATAAGCCGTACCCTTAAATTGCGGCTAGCTTAAAAAGCTTTGCTGGAAAATACGCACAACTTTGTAGGTACACACATTTTCTTATAGATGCACAATACTTGTATTGCTTAATAATAAATGAAGATGAATTATGTCGTAGCAACCATTTCGCAACTGTACCTGCATTGGGTGCCTTGAGAATTCACAACGGCACAACGAGCGTTCCTCCGACATGCGATGTGACTACACGTGTGTTCCACGCAGGTCTGGCGTTTCTCTCGCTGCGATGAAAATCATACCTCGTTGATAGTTATTTTATGTCGTGGCATTTTACCTTTATCGTGATTCACAGGACTTCGCAAGCGATTAGTGTAACACTGCTTGGTGCGGCCCCGCAGTCTGTAAAAGCGAAGGTATCGTCGCAGGGTTAACGCGATATATTGGCACGCACAACGAAAACAAGGAACGCTTATCTTTCCCAAGAAATTTATCTCTCAGGTCGAGATGCAAGCAACCATCTTTGAAGTTGAATTCCATACACTGTTTTGCCTTCTAGTCAAATCAGTGGTTATAGGCTCAACGTTCAACAAAACAGCATCACTCAGCGTCAATGAACCAATTGAAAAGAAATTCACAGATAAATGATTGGCCTTATATATAAAGTTGGACCTGTACACAAGCCAACCATCAACAACAGTGTCTCCAAAGGGACGACCTTAATTATGTACCGCTTTTTTATTGTCGTCGATTTTGATTGTGTCAACGCTTTCCTTTGTGTAAGTTCTGCATCTAGGCTTGCCACTGTTCATGCGCACCATTCGCTTACCGCACTTCGGTCACCATTCCTAGCACAAGCCAAGACCTTTGTGCCCTGTTGCTTTGCTCGAGCTTATTGACACAGCTAGGCATATTGCATTCGAAATTCGCATACAGCGCTTACTTGCAGACGCCGAAAATTTCTTTGTATAATCCGCAGGAATCAAGACTAAGCGTTCATTGTTGGGCTTTGTATATGTGTGTACAATATTAATAATAATGATGATATAGTTAATAGGGTTTAACGTTCTAAAACCTTGATATGATCATGAAAGACGCCCTAGTGAAGGCTGCGGAAATTTCGACCGCTTGGGGTACTCAAACATGCACCTAATTCTAAGCACAACAGCCTCGACAATTTTCGCCTCCACCAAAACTTGGCTGCCGCGGCTGGGATTGCATCCCGCGACCTGCGGGACAGTGGTCGAGCTTCGTAACAATTAGACATCACGGCGCGTTTGCTATGTGTATTTGTCTGTGTATATTTTGTCGTGCGCTGATGTGTCTTCCTTAGTAACTTTCAGTTAAATTATTGCTTATCTGTAAAAGAAGTTCACGGACTTCAGTTTCCGATAAACGCTTCGTTTGATCACTTTGTAATAATACATAGTGCTTGCAGTTGTTTCACCGTTGTGGGGCTTCCTTCAACGAGTTATTTCACATTGATGAATTCGCATAAAGTATTCCATCCCCTATTGTCCTAAATCATGCGTCTTAAGTATTTCTTGCCTTTATGACCCTCTAGTATTTTCTTTATTTTACTGCTGCAATTGACAATTGCTTTCTATTCATACTTTTACTACATGACAAAAAACAGCCATTACTTACTTTATTTTCTCCTCAATTATAATGCTAGGTGTGACAGTCATGCACACGTGCGCCAGATTGGGGGCAACGCCCCTCGGCATAGAATGTATATATGAGAGCGCTATCGTTCAATAAACGTTCTTTCGACGCACATGACCCGTGCAAGCCACATGGTGTCAGAAGTGGTCGGACCGCAGCCGATACACGCAGCCGGCGAACGAACAGCGGACGCGTAGCAAGCCAACAGGGGCGGCTCGGAGGTCCCAACCAGCTACAAGCATGCAGAACGGGGAACAGCGCCAGCAGGCCAGCGGACCAGTCACCACGCTATTGCCACCGCCGAAAGCCCTGGACACCACAGGAGACGTATGGCGAAGCTGGAAGACATGGCGGCAAGAGTTCGAGCTCTTCGCAACGGCAACATACCTGAACCAGCAACCGAAAGAGGTACAGGCAGCCACCTTTCTTATGATTATCGGAGAGGACGCACGCAAGACGTACAGCACTCTTGATTTTGCAACTGACGAAGAGAAGTCGGACGTAGAAGTACTGAAAATGAAGTTTGAGGCATTTTACAAACCAGCTCTAAACTTAGCCTACCATGAGTTCCGCTTTGGAAAGTGCGACCAAAAGGACGGTGAAAGTTTCAATGACTGGCTGACAGACCTCAGAGTGCTAGCAAAAAGCTGCGAGTTTGGGCAGCTTGAAGAGCGTATGCTGAGAAGCCGTATTATTCTCGGAATTAGAGATAAAAAGCTGCAAGAAAAGCTAATCTCCGAAAATGCTTCTTTCACGAAGACCGTAGAAATGTGTCGCTCTCGTGAACATGGCAAAGAACAGTGTGAAGAGATACAGGCGCGCCCGAAAAGCGATTACGCAGCCGAGATGAACGCGCTATCTGAAGCGAAAGGTCAGCGTTGTACAAAGTGCGCAAAGGTTCATCAGACCGACCGTGTGTGCCCAGCAAAGGGACGCACGTGCAGGAAATGCGGTGGCAGAAATCACTTTGCGATAGCCTGCAAGAAGATGCAAAAAGATTTCATTCGAAAGAGCACGCAGTAGCATCTGTCGATGCAGAAGAAGGCGATTTCTGGTTAGAAACGCTATCGCATGCCCGTGGGAAAGACGACCGCTGGACGGCCACCGTTGAGATAGAAGGAAAGCCTATTTTTTGCAAGTTAGACACAGGCGCAACATGCTCGGTTATAGCACGCAGCCAGCTGCAGAAAATAACAAACAAGCAGCCACTTGATTGCAACGTTGTTTTAAACACATTTTTTGGCTTCCAGAAAAAAGCGACGAAACAAGTTCGTCTTGAAGTGGCAACGAGAGAAAGCAAGATTCTGACAGAGTTTTTCGTCGTGGATGACGAAATCGCCGTGACCTTGAGCGGTACAGTTGCCGAAGAGCTTGGCTTGCTCCAACGTGTCTGCTCTGTCGACCAACTAGAGCTTTACGGCACTGCCAAGCCTTACGAAGACGTGTTTGAAGGTCTGGGTCAACTGGAGGGTATTGTCTACCATCTAAAGCTCAAGCCCGGGTCCCAGGGAGTAGTGAAACCAGCACGGCGGATTCCAATAGCATTGCAAAGCAAGGTGAAAGCTGAGCTCGACCGCATGGAGACTGCTGGAGTCATCGTGAAAGTGACCGAGCCGACAGAGTGGGCCAGCAACATGGTCGTTGTTACAAAAGGAGAGAAGGTACGCATTTGTCTTGATCCTTCCGACCTAAACAAAGCTCTGCTTCGCGAGCACTATCCAATGCCAACATTGGAAGACATAGCACCTTCGATAAGTGGGGCCCAGTACTTTACAACTTTGGACGCAGCCTCCGGTTTCTGGCAAATCAAGCTGGATAAAGAAAGCTCTAAGATTTGCACTATGTGCACTCCATACGGCCGTTATAGATTTTTGCGCATGCCCTTTGGAATCTCGTCGGCGCCGGAAATATTTCAGCGGGCCATGCACCGCGTGCTAGAAGGCCTCGAAGGCGTAGCGGTTGTCATGGACGACATTATAGTGTGGGGCCGATCAAGAGAGCAGCATGATGCAAACCTTGAACACGTCCTACGACGTTGCCGAGAGTACAAACTGAAATTGAACAGAAAGAAATGCCGTTTTTTACAGGAGTCCGTCCGGTACTTGGGACACATTTTGACGCGCGACGGCCTGAGCCTGGATCCACAGCGGCTAGAAGACATCTTGCAAGTCCAGACGCCAAGCAACCAGAAAGAGCTGCAGACGTTCCTGGGCATGGTAAATTTTGTCTCTCGCTTTATTCCGAATATGTCGGACCTAACAGCACCACTTCGAGAATTACTAAAGAAGAATGTCGCGTGGCTTTGGGAGGACCGCCAAGATGCAAGCTTCAAGGCTCTGAAGGAAGCGCTTGCGACAGCCCCTGTACTAAGCTACTACGAGAAGGGGAAACCAATCAGGCTGTCGGTAGATGCCAGTCAGAACGGAGTTGGCGCAGTGATCATACAGGACGGGCATCCACTAGCGTATTCGTCGCGTTCCTTGACAGAAACACAGCAAAGGTACGCCCAGATCGAAAAGGAGATGCTGGCAATTGTCCACGGCTGTGAAAGATTCCGCGACTATCTTTTCGGGCAGCCTGAAGTTGTGGTAGAATCCGATCACAAGCCACTAGAAATTATATTTAAGAAGCCGTTATGCCAATGTCCTCTAAGGCTTCAGCGCATGCGCCTCAGCTTGCAGAGGTACCCGATAGTCGTCAAATACACACCTGGAAAACAGCTGTTTGTTGCTGACGCTTTATCACGGTCCCCGAGCCAAGCAATATTGAAAGAACAGTGCCTGAATTATCAGTTGAACACCATTGCTTGCCTGCAGGTTTCAGACAGACGGCTGAGCCAAGTTCTACAAGAGACCGACCAGGACCCTGTGATGGTGAAACTTCGACAGTACGCAAGCAGTCAGTGGCCGGAGAGCAAAGCTGACGTCAGCAGCGAGCTACGATGCTACTGGAGCTTCCGCGACGAGCTGCATACGCAAGATGGCCTTGTATTCAGGAGCAACCGCCTCATCATTCCGGCCAAGATGCGCAGCGAAGTTCTTGCCTGCCTTCATGCAGCGCATGGGGGAGCAGAAAAAATGAAAGCACGTGCTCGAGCTGTACTTTTTTGGCCTTCTATAAACAGCGATCTAGAGGAAGTTGCTCGACGCTGTGAGACCTGCCAAAAGCACAAGCCACGAAATCGGCGCTTGCCATTGATGAACCATGAAATTCCTAGCCTACCCTGGGAAGTTGTGGGAGCCGACATATGCTATCACAATGCTACCGAGTACTTGGTGGTTGTTGACTTTTATTCTTTCTTTTTCGAAATCAGGCCCGTGAAGACGACAGCCGACAAGGTGATTGCTGCCTTCGCAGACATATTCGCCACTCATGGCTTCCCGCAGCGCCTATGCACGGACAATGGACCGCCATTCAGCAGCCAGGACTTTCGTGAATTTGTCGGTAAGATTAGCTTGCACCATGTTCGCTCCAGCCCCTATCACCCTCGATCAAACGGAATGGCTGAACGTGCGGTGCAAGAAGCCAAAAAATTGCTGAAGAGGTATCGGTACGGCACAGTGGATTTTTGTGCTGCATTGCTTGAATGGAGAAACACTCCTCGCGATTCCTATTTGAAATCTCCAATGCAGAGACTCATGGGCCGAAATGCGAGGACGCTGCTGCCAGTCACGGAAACCCACCTGCGACCGCAGACCATACCGCCAGAGGAGGTTCAACGGCGGCTCCACGTCATCAGAAGTAGACAACGTTCCTACTACAACAGGGGTACAAGGCCGCTACCAGGACTTCCTGAGGGCTCCCGCGTCACAGTGTACAACGTACCATCAAAGACCTGGTCCCCTGCTACGGTTATCAAGCCTGCCAACAGTCCGAGAGCCTACATTGTTGAGACCGAAGATGGACTCCAGTTGCAGCGCACCAGAGAACATCTCCGTCTGGCCCCCACTCCACTGGTGCCCCCCACACAAGAACATCAAGCTGACGTGGGCCCCGCCGAGCCACAACTACGCAGAAGCGAACGCAATCGCCGGCCACCGCAAAGATACCCCATGCCGGAACTTTAGTCTTTTTGTTTGTTTAAGAAGGGAGATGTGACAGTCATGCACACGTGCGCCAGATTGGGGGCAACGCCCCTCGGCATAGAATGTATATATGAGAGCGCTATCGTTCAATAAACGTTCTTTCGACGCACATGACCCGTGCAAGCCACACTAGGTATCCCAATAAATAACCGACATGAATAAACCATGAATAAACACTGCAAGAAATTAAAAGCATCGTTCACAACACAGAATAGAAAACACTTTTGTTGTGATCTTTCACATTTATACCTAAGCCAAGAGGCGCACACAAAGTGTTGACAAGTGACGACGCAACACGATGAAGCCCATTGCGGACACGGATCGTGGTCCCTCATGCAGCTTCCGGACAGCATGGTCCACAGCTGCGTTTTTCACGCCATTTGACGTTATCCTCCCAACGTGCATCCTGTAATTTACAACACCGGCTTTCACCGATATCCAGCGGGCCCACGTGCACTGGATAGCCGAGTGGCTAGATGCCAAACAAATGCGATAAAGCAAGCTCAAAACGATGCCCGCGCTGTGTTCTTCATTTCACCTTAGGACACACTTTCGGGTGTTCAATTTTATACGCAGTGATGAAAACGCAAAAAAAGTTCACAATAAATTCATGTTAAGTTTTTTCAGCGGGACAATTTGCTTTCAATTTTTCGCTGACATTTCTGCAGAAAAAAAACTCTTTAAATGTGCGGCTAGGTAAACATCTCATGCAAATATGAAATTTATTGCCAATCAGAAGTGAAGGTCACCTAAAGATTGGTCAGTGGAGCCAACGGCTTGGTGGACAGTAGCATTTCTCTTTGTAGTGTTAATATTTCGGCTATTTTCTGCATCGCACTTTTTCCTACGGCTGCAGTTCGAAATACAGAGAGAGTAGTTTCTAAACCACGCAGTTGGCTTTCAAGCAATTCCTCAACCAGATCGGTATTGAATAGACTATCTTGTCATCGTTCCGGTATAGTATTACATAAAGAAATCAGGTTTGTGTTTTGTTTCATTCCGTGGAAGCTCTCGTCAACACCGTGGAAGCCGACGTAGGAGATATTGCATTAACTACGAGCTCGCCTATCATCTACAGCTGTGTTTGTTCAGAGGCGCTTTGCAGTGAAAGCACGGCAGAAATATTGACGCGTGAATTGGAATAATTTCGCAGCTGCTAGGGCTTACGTCCAGATTAACTTAACGAATGAGGGGCTAAAACCAATAAACAGAGCAAGTGTTGCTTTTCCCCCCCCCCCCAAAAAAATGATTAAATAGCTTTCGTCGCAGATTCAAGGCCGAAGTCGTATGTGTGGTTTATCGCCCCAGTATCACGAATTCAACGAGTAAAGTGGCAGTACAAATTGAACAACGAGGACAAAAAAAAAAACGAAGAGCCCGGTACCAACACGCAACTTAACGCAGAGTTAAAGTTAGCACTATTCAAGCTGTTGCTTAAACATTGATGTCATTATGAGAGACTGTGTATTTCAGCGTCCCTCATAATGGTATTTACAAACTTTTTCGCCCTTTTTCTATTTCCCCATTGCCGGGTAGCAAAGCGGACTTGCGTCTAGTAAACCTCCCTGCCTTTCCATGTATCTCTTTTTTTTTTTCTCTTTTTCCCTGTAGTGCAGGGCTGCGGAAATTTTGATCGCCTCGGGTTCTTTAACGTAAACACCACGGTAATTACATTGATCCGAAGCATTTTCACCTCCATCGAAAATTGAGACCCCGCTGCTCTATTTAGATCCCGCGACATCCGGGTCAGATGTCAATTAAAATAAGAACTGGAGCGGGTGATTGATGGGCGAAGCAGGCGTGCGCCATTGACGGACGAAGTGTTAGCAAAATGCGTGTACTATAACTTTAGCCACAGCATCGTAAGTTAAACGTCCAGTTGCCGCCCTAAGTATCAACAACGCTGTCTACACGAAGCTGTCGCTTATTTTATCTCAGACAAAGCTAGCGCAGCTATAGCGTCCGCTCAGTTTTCTCTTTCGCGCTTGTCTCATGAAGCGCTTTTACATCGCACATTTCAGCGCATGCTGTCTATTGGCTTACATATCCAAACCCCAACTCTGTACTAGTGCGCTGTAACATTTTTCGGTGGCTGCGTAGTATGTCATCCTCCGTATTTTCTTGCAGTCGGCCATTCAGGGTGTTCTCGCTTTCATACCCTGGCCCGGAAGTGAAGCCTGCCACTTCCAGGCGCAGATCTGAATATGGAGGACAAGAGAACATGGACCGCAACTGGGGCATCGCCGTGGCTGCCGCTGTGGCTTCTTTCTTCAACTTGGCCACGCAGATAAACTCTGGCTTCTTTTTTGTCGCCATTATGGACACTTTCTACGTGGGCCACTCGAATGCCTCGTGGCCACAGAGCGTTTTCAACATCATGACATACTCCGGCAGTAAGTAAAAATGATTAGAACTTTTACTCAAAACTGGACAACTCAATAACAGCAGAGAAGAAAGCGGAAAAATTGCACACATCTTCCCGTAAACAAAACCCTGAGTAGTATGCGAAGCAGCCATGGGTCCACTGAAGGTTCTTTGAAAAAGATGCTATTTATTCATCACCGTACACCACTGCGCACACAGCTACTTTGCAATCTCTCGCCTCCACAGTACTCATGCTCATGTATTCATTAATACAACTACGCTGGGTGTGTGTGAAAGAGAAGTAAGCGCTTTTATTAGACAAAGCAGCGCAGCGCCGCTAGCGGTCTCCACTCATACCAGAGCACACGCCGGAGTCGAGTGAGCGCTCTAGCACAGAGCCTTTTAGTGAGTGATCCGGGTGTAGGCATGACTTCGACGACAGGCATCTAAAAAGAAGGTATAGAAGAAGCTGATTTCATCTATATGCGTTTTTTTCGAAGAATTTAACGTAGTACTGTGAGAAATTGTTCAATCATGACACTAGATGTGGGTAGTGGTGTTGAAGAACACTGTCTTTTTTGTGCGAGTATGGGGTAACGGGGTCCCGCAGATCACCGACTATTAATCAATCAAATTCAGCCCACAGAAAATCGTTGAGTAAAAATTTCATTAGGGCTAGCATATACACATTTGTAAACCTTTCCTGCATAACGTTGTACTTCGGTATCAAAAAAATAACATACGAAGCTAAATGACATCACTGAAGTAGCTGAGGAGCATAGACGTGCCCTCCTACGCATTTAATAAGTATGACGAACGGATCATTCGAAAGACTCTAGTCCAAGCTCACTAAAATCTATACAAGCATTCAGAGTGACCTCGCGGCTATAATCTGCACTTTGTCACAGCACACGTTACATAACGCCGATTCCATTCCGATTGAATTTTTACGCTACAGCAACTCGTGGGAAGGAGCTGGGCTAGTTGATGGGTGTTCATGCTCAAGAGACAAGGCGGCAAACATGAACACAAGCGAAAAGTTGGCGTTTGTGGTGCCTCCGTTTCTTTTTTGTGTCCGTAGTTCGACACCCCGTCTCTTGAACCTGAATCTGTGTAGATCACCACACTGGTAGCTAAGTATGCCTTTATTTAGACAGGCTTTAGTGGGACTTCATGTGGACAGCATTCAAGTTTCAATTGGTGCAAACAGAATGCGTCTTACAGCTAATTTGTTAATTCTAGGAATGCACAGAAAAGCACCATCATACTTCACAATGATACGACAGAGAACAGCGGCTATGACGCTAGCGTACAGGAACAATGCAAGTGTGCAGACCACACGGCCAGTGTAGGCAACATGGTGTGTCATTTTCAAAACCTGCTGTGTAAACACACAAGTCCCGTTTTTATAGTTCCACTTTCAATTGCTGTGAAACAAAACGACCAGTTTCAACCTGTTCTTTATTGAGTGGCGTGCTTCCATCACCTCATCTTCAACGCATCACTAATGTTACCCAAAAATTACGATGATTGAAATGGCTTACAGGAACAAATCCAAAATATCATCCATAAGAGTGATGGATGTGACCCATAGCATTCCTTAGCAAACCGAAAGCACAGAGCTGATTTTTATCTATCTATCTATCTATCTATCTCTCTCTCTCTCTCTCTCTCTCTCTCTCTCTCTCTATATATATATATATATATATATATATATATATATATATATATATATATATAGTGGGAGTAATGATTCAATGGGCCAGTTAGTCTTCGTGAAGGTATGAGATATGGCACAACGGGAGCGTTGTCAACAAGGATAAATATATTTATTTCCCAACAGTTTCGGGAGGGGTCCTCCCTTCATCAGGGGATGAGGTATACTCATCCCCTGATGAAGGGAAGGGAAATAAATATATTTATCCTTGTTGACAACGCTCCCGTTGTGCCATATCTCATATATATATATATATATATATATATATGTCTATCCGTCTGTCTGTCTGTCTATCTATCTATCTATCTATCTATCTATCTATATATCTATCACGCCATCTATGTCTGGGTGCTCCACTGGTCGTTTCCCTAAATAAGTTTAAATCAAAACTGCAATAGCAGGACATGACTGTATGACGAACACCCATTAACAGGTTATCACATGATAAAAATAACCTGCATGTCACGTGATCCTTTTTCTCTCATTCACGGGCGGTGCATCAGCATTTCACTGGTTGTGGTATGTGGGTATGCACCACACGTGATTCAAAGTGTGTAGGTATCACCCCAGGAACAGCAAAGGTATTCTTTAGAATTCAACGCCAAGCACACCTTGAGTCGGACGCCTTTGCGTCGCAGAAGACACCGAGGAGTCCCTCTACGCACCGCAGTTTAAAACAAAATCATCTTAGGGTGTCAGGATCTAGGCTGGCAAAACCTGCAGTGCGTTGCCATAAACGCAAAACTATTGTGGCAGTTGTTAGTTCGCTCTTGTGCTGTGCGGACCAGCCCATTCTCGTCGAGCGTTCCTGGCCTTTCAGTGTTTCAGCAGTGCGCTATAATAAACAAAATTCTTGTTCATTGCGTGATATTCCAAACTCTTGCTGTGGCATTCATTGCTTGGTTCTTGCTGCGAAAACTATGACTTTTATTGTTACACAAAGACACCTATTACACAAAGACACCTGTTACACAAAGCGCTCTTTTCTGTCCTTGTTTTTTTCGCTTCCGTAGTTACGAAGTAACTATTTCTAGGTTACGCTGTTCCTGCATTCAGTTACACCCATCCCCCGTAGTATTTGGCTGAACGTGCAGCGTAAGCAGTGGCAAGGTCAATATGTCACATAAATTATACCCGTGCAATGAGTAAGACTTACCGAAGTCTATTCCTCCTTCGTCTACAATATGACACACGTAACATAGAATGCATTAAAAGCAGAGATCGTCATTTTCCTGCTTGGAACCCACGAAAAATCATACAACGTCTCGCATTTGCTTAACTTACGAATACATAGTGTCCTCTTCAAAGGAGAAAAAAACTACAAGAGAGACCGTCAGCCGAAGTATTAGTATTTAGAGCACGTGTACTGAATAGCTGAATTTTTTTCAAGAGTTAATACAGTCCTGTCAAATTATAACGTGATTCTGCATTAGTACAGCGGTCTCCACTCAAGTTTTCTTAACATCTACATGAAGCAAGCTACACAGAATACCATTGAGATGACACTCACGTTAATTATATTGGTAATGAAAAAAGTGCAAGAATCTGAAAAAAAACTACCTTTAGCAGTCGGTGGTTCTGGCTCAGAGTATTGAATGCTGAAGTATAGGTTCTTCTGGACATCCAGAGTAATTATTGCCTTAATTGTGCATTAGAGAATATTCAAAGTTTCAACCGAAACAAGCACGATGTGGGTAAAACTTTCATATTTTGCCCTTACCACTGACTGTTCTCTATTCGATGGAGCGAAATTAATGCCTAGCCTAAGTGTAGAGTGAGAGGGAATGACATCTCTGAATAATGTGTATCTAAATAACACCTTTCCGCCCCGCCGCGGTGGTCTAGTGGCTAAGGTACTCGGCTGCTCACCCGCAGGTCGCGGGTTCGATTCCCGGCTGCGGCGGCTGCATTTCCGATGCAGGCGGAAATGTTGTAGGCCCGTGTGCTCAGATTTAGGTGCACGTTAAAGAACCCCAGGTGGTCAAAATTTACGGAGCCCTCCACTACGGCGTCTCTCATAATCATATGGTGGTTTTGGGACGTTAAACCCCACATATCAATCAATAACACCTTTCCAGACAGATAGTGATAGCGGCTAGAGCAATCCCATGAGTGGTTCTTCTTTTTTTTTTCAAAAACGTTCTTGCTTTTGTAATTACCATTGTGACTTGTTTCCCCCACACACTGGTTTCTTTACGAAGACATTTCGGCAGTCCTTCTATGTCTAGAACTTTATTTCTGAGCTTGCTAGAAGCTTTTTGTGGTTGTTGATCAGCGCTTCGTTTAATCGGCAATGGTCGCGCGCCACACCGACAAATGTGGCACACCGCCAATGCGGCCAACATGAAAACTATGTGGGCCATGCGACCATAATTAACAACCGTTGCTTGAGTGGCGCTTAAAACGTTGAAATTACTCTGGCACTCACGCAAGTTAATCTTCCGAATATACCGAGTTTGGGCCCATGGTTGCGTGGCGCTAGGCAGCTTTGCCATGCTTTCGAGCCTGCTGCCTGATGTTGGGGCAACGTGTGGTGTGGCAATACAACACGTGCCCTGAGCCGTGCACATGTGCAACCGCTTTGTCTAAAAATAAAGCAAGAGCTAAACACCGATGCCGCGCACAGAACGATATTTCGCCTGTTCCTGTCAGCGACATGCTTCTATGCATAGGCGGGGGTGGTGCTGAACATCTGCGCGAATGTGAGTTTCCACAGCACTGCCGAGATGCTATATTCAGATACCAGCTTATTTCTTTTTTTTTCCTTTTTATGCTGGAGAATGGTTTGATTTCACCATTTCCCCTTTTTTTCTGCACATTTTTTTCTTTTTTCGTAACTGATAAAGTTTTCTGCCACTATCACATGTTTCTTGCGAGAAACATCTGTTTTTGTCGCATCAGCAGTTTGAGCCAAACATCACCGTGGTTCTTTTCTCTGGGGACCTATGCAAGTAGACCAAATTTTGGGAACAATTTGGACAAATTGTTCATAGTAACGCTTGCATCACAGCGACAGAGAAGTTCCATTACCTCCGACTGTATCTGAAAAGAGAAGTTGCTTCAGTAATTGCAGGCCTTCCGACGACAGAAAGTTGCTACAACGACGCCATCAGCATACTACAGAAGCGATTTGGGGACAAGGCGCCCCTGGAGCAAGAATATTATGCCAAGCTACGATGTTAAGCCCTGTCCGTTCATCGACTGACACCAAAGGGCTACGCAGCCTGTACGACCACGTTCTCGTTAGTATTCGAGGCCTAGAGATTTCGGGTGTGCACAAGTCGTCATTTTCGTCAATGCTCTGCGAACTCC